GGGAACCATAAAACTGGCAGCTAGATCAGTCTTCAGAATGCCTAGATCAATGTTTCTCAACCTTGACAACTTTAAGACATGTGGACTTTAACTCCCAGAATTCTCCAGCCAGCCATGCTGGCTGGGGAATTCTAGGAGTTGAAGTCCACATATCTTACAGTTGCTAAGGTTAAGAAACACTGGCCTAGATGTTGTCCTCCGTGGTTTAGTTGATCAGTATATCTGCTTCCAGGTCCTCTCCCACCCCTCCAGCAGCCAGAGAAGGACAAATTGGCTAGAAATATGAATGGTGTACAAAATATGAATGGTGGAAGCACATTAGAGAGAATCTGGATGAATAAGAAAAGATGAAGGGACAGTCCCTGGCCACTGCCAACACAGAGCTCTTGATCACTTCCCCAGGTTAAAACAGCCTTAGATATGAAAAAAAAGCCCTATTTCTCATGCAAGTGGGAATTTGGATGAAGAAGGGGTTTTTTTGGGGTCCTGGGCACTTGGAAGAGAAGAAACTTGCAGGAACCTCCTGCAGTGTTACAGGTAAATACCCACACATTTTGAAAATCACTCCAAATCTTAGAATCATTTCTGAGATCTTGTATGATAATGCCTGCAAGCTTGTCAGATTTCTGATTTACCAAGAAGAAGAAAAAGAACGTTGCAGAATCTGTCATCTCACAAAAGTTTAGCAACCTTATAAGATTACAGTCATTTTGTTATAATTTTAATTCACTTTTATTTAAAGTGGGTTTCTGAATGCCATTTTAGAGACAGCCTGCTAACAATGTGTGTCAGATAAAACCTTCGTGGGGGAGCAGCTGCTGAAATGCAGCTTGCTTTGTGAGTCTGAAGGGGTCACACTCTGCTGCATTTTGTATTCAGAGGGCAAAAGGTGTTCCAGAGCAGGCATGGATGCATACCAAATGCATCTTTTCCTGTGACTACACTGTGGCTGCAAAGGGTAGCCAAGATCCTGAGAAAGACACAGCTGCTTTAAAGAGCTGGTGATACTCTCTTTCCATTGAAGAACTGCACAGCCCTATTAAAGGATCACATCAGAATCTTTTAGAAGAGAGAGGGTTGTGAGTCTCCCAGGCACGGTTGTAATAAAGATTTGGGCCCTGTGAAAATACTCAATTTCCATTTTGTGAGCTTCTTTGCCAAAACTCAGTTTGGTGTAGTGCTGAAGGTGCTGGGTTAGAAACTGGGAGACCCTGAATTCCAGTCTTCCCTAAGGGATGGGAGGTGGCTGCGTGACTGAGCCAGCCCTCTTTCTCAGCCCAACCTACTTCGCAGGGTGGTGGTTGTCAGGAAAATAGGAAGAGGGAGCATTATGTATGCTGCTTTGAGTTGTACAAAGTTAAGGTGAGATACACATCTGGTAAATACAAAGTTTGTGAAGCCTTTTGAATTTTCACGGTTTCTGCATCAATATGACCTAAAAGGTGATCTGTTTCTACACGTCCTAAAACTACATGAAGAGAACCCAATTAAATGAGTCAAAAACCTTATACTGTATACTATACAGAAGGTTCTCTACCTACGAACTTTCAAGTTGCGAACTTCGGCCAATACAAACAAGATGGACCCGGAAGTTGGAACCGGAAGTTGGGCTGGAAGTCAGGAGAAAGCACGCCACAAACTAACCCTTCCCCAACATCTCCTGACTTCCGGTCCTGACTTCTTGCATGGTCGGTTGCGTTTGGGGTGTGGCAACTGCAAATTGTAGACTGCAAATGCCTGCAATTAAGCGCGAGAGTCCTGAAGGGGAGGGGGTGATGTGAAGAAGCAATATCCATTATGATGCTCATGAAGATGGAGATATTGAAGAAAATAAGAGTTCCAGACCAAGCTGATGGCAGAGGGGTTCAGCTTAATTGAGAAAGCGCTATCGCTGTTTGAGATGCAGGACCCTAACATGGAGTGCTTCACCAAGGCGTCTGCAGCTGTCCAGGATGCAATCCAGTGCTACAGCATCATTTATGAGGAGAAGAGGAAGACTACCACCCTAGGTTCACTGGACCACTTCTTCAGGAAGGTGGAAAAAAGTACAGAGGATGAGTCCACACCATCTTCGCAAGCGCCTACGCCAGTGTGGCAAGTGCCTACGTCAATGCTGCTTTTGTAAGGTGCATGTTTTCCTCGCTTGTTGGA